TAAAATTAAAACTTTCTTTAAGAATGTAAAGGAAGATTTAGACCCAGCAATGCACTCGGATTGGATTAAATTCCAAATAATGACAGTAAGTACTGAATATGCCAAAACTAAAAATACATTGCAGTCCAAAAGGGAGAGAGAACTTATAAATAAGTTGTCAATATTGGATAATCAGTTACAGGATAGTGATGATGAAAACCTACGAAAGGAATATGAGGATAATAAGACTGAATTAGAATTGATTTATGAACGAAGAGCTGAAGGGGCTTTCATAAGATCACGAGCTAGCTGGTCCGAAAAGGGTGAGAAAAGTAATAAATATTTTTATAATTTAGAAAGACAGAGACAAAGTAAAAAGCTATCCGAGAATTAGTGAATGGTAACGGTGTCAGAATAGAAAATGAACAAGATATACTGTCAGAAAATTAAAGATTTTTATTCTGCTTTATATTCAAGTCGAAACACAAAGACTGATGATGGCATTTTAGAGTATTTTGATCAAGATGTACCTCAGATTCAAGAGGAAGATAAGTCCATGTTTATGATTGATTTCGATGAGCTTTGTAATGCTTTAAAACAATTGGAGCCGAACAAGACGCCAGGTTGTGATGGTTTAACCAGTGAATTTTATAAATTTTATTGGCAAGATTTAAATGTTTTCTTTAACAAATCACTGGAAATTTCTTCTGAAATACATACATTAAGTGTTTCACAAAGACATGGTGTTATAACATTAATTGACAAACCTAATAAAGATGTAAAATATTTGAGAAATTGGAGGCCTATTACTTTGCTGAATATTGATTTTTGCTAAAGCTTTAGCGATAAAGTCTGTTTTAGATTCTATAATTCATGAAACTCAAACTGGTTTTATGAAAGGTAGAAGTATACATGAAAATGTGAGATTGGTATTAGATATCATTGAAACATACGAAGATGAGGGACATATATTATTTTTAGATTTTGAGAAAGCATTTGATTCTGTTTAATTTAAGATTATTAACAATGCTCTGAAAAAATCTGGATTCCCTACTAAGTTTATTATTCTAGTAACCCTTTGTTATAATGAGATTTCATCATGTGTTATTAAAGGTGGCCGATCTACAAGTTGGTTTGAAGACTTTAGAGGAACAAGACAGGGGTGTCCGGTTAGTCCGTATATATTGTTGATATGTTCGATTATGTTAATAAACAGCAAGTTTCGTAGCATAGATCGCATCAATGGTTTGCAGGAAAAGAGCTGAAAGGTATATATTACGCTGATGACTCTGCACCATTATTAAAAGATAAAAACTCAATCCAGAAGACCCTTGATTTTTATGTTAAACAAAAGGAATTTCAGTGGCCTAAAACTTAATTTAGACAAATCAGTCCTAATGTCTCTAAGAAAAGAGGACTTTTGCCCACCTTATGGAATTCAGAAAGTATCGAGATACAAATACTTAGGCATAATTTAATGTTAGACCTTAATGACTTTGTTTGTTTTCATGATAATGTTGAAATTTCACTAGAAAATCTAAAGAAGAGATTTGAAATCTGGAAGTCAAGAAATTTGACAATTTATGGTAGACTCCTATTAAGTAAATCAGAAGGCATTTCAAGGCTTGTTCATCAGGCAAGCTGTATATCATTACCCAAAAAGTTGTCAAGTCTATTAACAGAGCTATTTACTTTTATTTGGAATAGCAAGTCTGAGAAGGTTTCAAGAAATCGTCTCACACAAGGTTATGAAAATGGGGGCATTAAAGCTTTAGATTTTGATTTATTTAATAAAGCACTTCAACTAGTATGGCTTTCCAAATATTTCAAGAATAAGAGATTTTGGAGCTATCAAGTTCAACCAATATTTGAAATTGTAGGACCCCTTGAGTTTTTATTAAACTGCAACTTTGACTTACACAAATTGAATTTAAACATCCCACTATTTTATAAGGATATCTTAAATATCTGGAAATTCCATTTTTACAAAGATGTTGACATTTTTAATTAAAATTATTTGGAACAATGAAAAGGTGCTTATAAACAGAAAAACCTTATATGACTGATTGGAAAGAAGCATGTATTATTTATGTTTGGCAATTACTAAGACTGGCTGACGGAGTTTGATTTTACGCCGCTTTTAGCAATATTCCAGCAATATCGCGGCGGTTGGTCAAAATGTTTATTATAATGTATGACTGGTTCTTTTCCAAGTGATGTTTGCCCAGATATAAATGGTGTAAAAGTTGCTGATGTCCCTGATAATGCCAAATCCAGGTACAGCTTAATGCATAATATTTGTTCTGTGGCAGAAGAGGATACTTATAAATGGAAAATTGTACAAGAATCAGAATTAGAAAATAAATACAAACAATTAGAGTTTAAAATTCTTCACTAAATTTTGCCTTGCAATTTATATCTGAACAAGTTAAATGTTAAAGATAGTCAACTGTGTGAACACTGTGGCAATGTTAAAGATAGTACACTGTGTGAACACTGTGGCAATGTTAAAGATAGTACACTGTGTGAACGCTGTGGCAATGCTGACACTATCATACATTATATGTTTTATTGCTCTCGTGTTTTGCCATTCTGGATTTCCTATTTTAAATGGACAAAAGCAAATATTCAAGATAAGGTATATCCAAATTACAGCGATGTTGTATTATATGGCCTTAATGGAGACTCTGAAGACTGTAAATTATTTAATTATGTATTGATGTTTGCTAAATGTATAGTGTTTCGCTAATAAATGATGCTGACAAAAAAGACTTTACCTGACCATTTGCCACATGGCTATATCTAACATCCATAATGTTTTGAAACTCACAGTGACACGTCCAGGTATTGTCCAGCGATATGGGGGAATAACTCCCAGCAAGGACATTTCAAGCCGCTGTCCATCCCCGGTACATGGACAATGGCAGCAAGAGGTTAATCACCTTGTTTACCTGGCAGCAGGACACTGTCACAGAGCACTTGACTGAGTCAGGTAAGGTTTTACACCCACTACTTGTTTGCTATGTTGCTATGTTTGCTATGTATAATATAACTATACTGTGTATTGATGTTGGTCAAGAAGTTTATACACTACTTGAAATATTTCTACCTCACCCGAGCATAGTGTTTTCTCTGTGAGGTTCGGACATATGACCTTGGGTAGTCAGGGTATAACTCACCACGCTCGACCTTCAGGAAACAGCACAGGCCCAGGGTATAACTAACCACGCTCGACCTTCAGGAAGCACCACAGGCCCAGGGTATAACTCACCACGCTCGACCTTCAGGAAACACCACAGGCCCAGGGTATAACTCACCACGCTCGACCTTCAGGAAACACCACAGGCCCAGGGTAGATACCGACAGAGCCGTCAGGAGAAGTCGGATTATTCTACCACATAAGAATAGTCGTGTGTCTCTGGCCTATGTACTCACATTGTATGACACTATATACGGCTCGGTAGAGCTGCAGTAATAATAAGTCTTGGTCGCCAAAATTGAAATCTAACGTTTCGTCTTTCTGTAATTGGCTCATGGACGTTGTGTCACGTGGTATCTTTTTGTTTGGTACCATGTTTGAAATTCCCCATTTAAATCGGATCGAGGCACTTCGAGTGAACATTTGTAGGACTTCATATCTTCATATCGGGAATTTTAAACGCTGTGTTATGGCAGTATAAAGTAAACTTTATTGTTCCACACCAATGTAAGTTGTTCTTGATTTTGTATATAACATGAACTGCTCATGCAATGTTGTATAATCTGTATACCAATATATCTATAGACGATCACCAGTTTGTTATATACATATATGTATCTTTTGCGAAAATGTTGGATAATATTTTTTATACATATAAGAAATGGGCGTATATGACACTATTCAGTCTTGCATGGAGAGTCACGTTTAGGTATTGACCAGCGATATGGGCGAATAGCTCCGCGCAGAGACATTAGTCACAGTCCATCGCTGATGCCTGGACAATGGCAGCAAGAGGTCAACTACCTTGTTTACCTAACAACAGCAAACTATCACAGTGTACTTAACCAAGTCAGGTACACAGCACTGGTCAGTGAGAAGCCCGTGTCTCCCAACACACCCTGCAGGTGTGACTTCCGTATACTCACCTGGCTTCTGCTTGTCCGGCAGATTCTTGACCCAACTAAAATTAATGCTGGTCATGTTAAAGAATGGTTTTCTGGGCAAAACCATTTTGGAACACTACACAGAAAGGCTAAATCACTGGTATATACAGTAATAAATATATGTACTTTATCAAAGACATTATGAATTTTAGCATTGTTTGTATACCATGAACATCACTTTAAGTATACATTACATACTACTATCATACATTTTAGTTCTAAAGGCATAACACCCATCAGGATGCTATTACAGACACAGATTTCATATGTAAGATAAAATACATATCAAAGCTAACATTATGTATTGTTATGTCGCAGTGGTATTCATTGTGTAACAATGTCCTAGGTGTAATAATTATTGTAAATGTGGATAGTCAATTTGGGACAGTGGTGTCCTATAGTTAGACTTATATTAGACTTGCTATACTCTGGAAGCCACTACAGGCTACTACAGCCCTGGACCCTTTCACAACCTTCTGACCAAGGGAGCTGGATAATCTTCAGTCACCTCACGACGAGGTACATAAGTTGTGCTAACTCTTGCCTCTTATCTCGCATTACATCTCAAGCTACAAGAGGACCTGCGATAGGGTGCAGTAGGGGACTTCAATTAAAACAAACTGTTCACATTAATTTACAAACAGATATACAGTGGAATGTCTCTATTACGGACTTGCCTGAGACTGACTTATTTGTCCGGATTGTAAAGCAGTCCGGATTATACAATTTTGAGGACCCAAAAATAACAGTCTGTAGAAGGTGGTCGGTTTACCTATGGGTTACACTTTCGTACATTCAAAAGAATGCATTTAATCATGTCAACGAATTTAATCACCAGTCATGAACGTTTGAGTGCAACTACCTTCTCTCTTTCCAGAATGTCATTCATGGAGCCCTTCCGCATTAGCACGGTAGAACCCTTGTCAAACCTAACCAGTGAAGAACGGTTGAAAATTCTCCAGGAAAGTGGTTATAATCCATTCCAGGTCAAGGACAAGTATGTAACCTTTGACCTATGGACTGATTCCGGCACGGCAGCGATGAGCCAACACCAATGGGCTGCAATGTTAGAAACAAGCGAAGGTTGCATCAGTCCCGACAGCTTCGACACTTTCGCTGACACCATCAAACGTTTAACAGGGTTCCCACACATCCTACCCGTCCACCAGGGCAGAGCAGCCGAACATATTCTCTTCTCGGTTCTAGCTAAACCAGGTTCCACTGTATTCAGTAACACAATGTATATCACAGGCCGTGCAAATGCCGAGCTCAGCGGAGCCGTAGTAGTTGATGTTCCCTGCAAGCAAGTAGAAGGTGGAGACTTCAATGGAGATCTTGACCTCAGGAGGGTGGATGTCGGCAAAGCTATGGTTGTTTTGACCCTGACCAGCAATAATCAAGCTGGACAGCCAGTATCCATGGCAAACATCAAACATGTTTCTGAAATATGCAAGACGCATGATGTCCCCCTGTTTATGGACGGGTGTCGTTTTGCAGAAAATGCATACTTCATCAAAACACGAACCAAGGTGTATCAGGATGTTTCAGCAAGAGACATAGCTCTGGAGATGTTTTCTCACTTCGATGGAATGTATATGTCCGCTAAAAAGGATGGGTTATGTAACATTGGTGGATTTTTCGCCACTCGCCTCTCTGACGTATATGGACAATTCAAAAGGCGAATGACCTACACTTGGGGAATCCAAGCTATGGTGGATTATCTAGCAGGGACCTGGAAGCTGTAGCTGTAGGTCTCTGGGAAGGAACGGATGACAGGTATCTGAAGTACAGAATTGAAAGCTTGGCCATGTTTGGTGACATCTTGAAGAAAGCCGGTGTCCCAATAGTTGAGCCAGTAGGAAGCGCCATCTACATCAACGCTGCTAGATGTTTGCCGCACATTCCCACAGAGCAGTATCCGGCGTGGGCCCTGCACTGTGCCCTGTACATAGAGGGTGGTATACGATGTTCACATGTCCACGACGTCTTGAAAGTCGACAGCACCAACAAACGTGAGGATCCTCAACCACAGCACTTCATCAGACTCAGCATTCCAAGGAGAACGTACACTTTGTCTCATCTCATTCATATCGGAGATATCTTCAAGAACGTCCTGGAGAAAAGGGGAAGTATTTCTGGGTTTTGCATCAAGAACTCTTCGGGTCATTATTTCTCAGCTGTCATGGAGCCCGTGAGGAAATGTTTTGTTGGATAGATTGATTATATTTTAGCTAACTTCCAATGCTTGGAGAGTTACCTGTGCACACAACTGCAGGTGCCCTGCATCTTATTGGTCACTTGCAAAGTGACATCAATCGCCACTGTTCGGCACTTATATTCATAACACATTTTACGTGTGAAATCCTCTTTTTTTATAGTTTTATGATTGTGAATTTTGATTTGGATCAACACTATAATTTGTTTTGAATGTCTGCCCCGGTTGGGACCCGGTTGTAACACTAGTGCCCGGTTATAACACTAGTGATTGGTCGTAACATTGGTACAGAATGTAATACTGGTACCGGTTATAACGCTAGTGCCCGGTTGTGACTCTGGTACCGGTTATACCACTAGGGCCCGGTTATAACACTAGTGATTGGTCGTAACATTGGTACAGAACGTAATACTGGGACCCGGTTATAACACTTGTGCCCGATTGTGACACTGGTACCGGTTATAACACTAGTGCCCGGTTGTAACACTAGTGATCGGTCGTAACATTGGTTCAGAAAGTAATACTGGGACCCGGTTTGTGCCCGGTTATAACACTACTGGTACCGGTTATAACACTAGTGCCCGGTTGTAACACTAGTGATCGGTCGTAACATTGGTACCCGGTTATAATACTGGGACCCGGTTATAACACTAGTGCCCGGTCGTAACATTGGTGCCCGAAAGTGACACTGGGACCCGGTTATAACACTTGTGCCGGATTGTGCCACTACACTGGTACCGGTTATAACACTAGTGCCCGGTTGTAACACTAGTGATCGGTCGTAACATTGGTACAGAAAGTAATACTGGGACCCGGTTATAACACTAGTGCCCGGTTATAACACTAGTGCCCGGTTGTGACACTAGTGCCCGGTTGTGACACTGGTACCGGTTATAACACTAGTGCCCGGTTGTAACACTAGTGATCGGTCGTAACATTGGTACAGAAAGTAATACTGGGACCCGGTTATAACACTAGTAACACTAGTGCCCGGTTGTGACACTAGTGCCCGGTTGTAGTGCCCGGTTACACTAGTGCCCGGTTGTAACACTGGTACAGAATGTAATACTGGGACCCGGTTATAACACTAGTGCCCGGTTTGTAACACTGGTCGTAACATTGGTACAGAATGTAATACTGGGACCCGGTTATAACACTAGTGCCCGGTTGTGACACTGGTGATCGGTCGTAACTGGTGGTTACGGTTATAATGGTACCGGTTGGGACCCGGTTGTAACACTAGTGCCCGGTTGTGACACTGGTGCCCGGTTGTGACACTGGTACCGGTTATAACACTAGTGCCCGGTTTGACACTAGTCATCGGTCGTAACATTGGTTAGAAAGTAACACTACCCGTGATCGGTCCCGGTTGTAACACTTGGTAACATTGGTACATAATGTAATACTGGGACCCGGTTATAACACTAGTGCCCGGTTGTGACACTAGTGCCCAGTTGTGACACTGACACTAATACTAGTGCCCGGTTTGTATAATGATCGGATGTAACATTGGTACAGAATGTAATAGTGCCCGGTTATAACACTAGTGATCGGTTTGGTACAGAATGTAATACTGGGACCCGGTTATAACACTAGTGCCCGGTTATAACACTAGTGCCCGGTTGTGACACTAGTGCCCGGTTGTGACACTGGTACCGGTTATAACACTAGTGCCCGGTTATAACACTAGTGATCGGTCGTAACATTGGTACAGAATGTAATACTGGGACCCGGTTATAACACTAGTGCCCGGTTGTAACACTAGTGCCCGGTTGTGCCCGGTTGACACTGGTACCGGGACCCGGTTATAACACTAGTGCCCGGTTGTAACACTAGTGTATCGGTTGTAACACTTGGTACAGTCGTAATACTGGTGCCCGGTGTAATAACACTGGTGCCCGGTTTGTAACACTAGTGATCGGTTATTGGTACACTGGTACCCGGTTGTAATACTGGGACCGTGTTATAACACTGGTGCCGGTTATAGTGCCCGTTTAACACTAGTGCCCGGTTGTGACACTGGTACCGGTTTGTGACACTGGTGCCCGGTTGTAACACTAGTGCCCGGTTGTAACACTAGTGATCGGATGTAACATTGGTTGTGACACTGGTACCGGTTATGTAACATTGGTACCGGTTGTAATAACACTGTGGACCCGGATGTAACACTAGTGCACGGTTGTGACACTAGTGCCCAGTTGTGACACTGGTACCGGTTATAATACTAGTGCCCGGTTGTAACACTAGTGATCGGATGTAACATTGGTACAGAATGTAATACTGGGAGCCGGTTATAACACTAGTGCCCGGTTGTGACACTGGTACTCGGTTATAACACTAGTGCCCGGTTGTGACACTGGTACCGGTTATAACACTAGTGCCCGGTTATAACACTAGTGATCGGTCGTAACATTGGTACAGAATGTAATACTGGGACCCGGTTATAACACTAGTGCCCGTTTGCGACACTTGTGATCGGTCGTAACATTGGTACAGATTGTAATACTGGGACCCGGTTATAACACTAGTGCCCGGTTATAACACTAGTGCCCGGTTGTGACACTAGCGATCGGTCGTAACATTGGTACATATTGTAATACTGGGACCCGGTTATAACACTAGTGCCCGGTTGTGACACTGGTACTCGGTTATAACACTAGTGATCGGTCGTAACATTGGTACAGAATGTAATACTGGGACCCGGTTATAACACTAGTGCCCGGTTGTAACACTAGTGATCGGTTGTAACATTGGTACAGAATGTAATACTGGGACCCGGTTATAACACTAGTGCCCGGTTGTGACACTGGTACCGGTTATAACACTAGTGCCCGGTTGTTACACTAGTGATCGGTCGTAACATTGGTACAGAACGTAATACAGGGACCCGGTTATAACACTAGTGCCCGGTTGTGACACTAGTGCCTGGTTGTGACACTGGTACCGGTTATAACACTAGTGCCCGGTTGTAACACTAGTGATCGGTTGTGACACTGGTACCGGTTATAACACTAGTGCCCGGTTGTGACACTAGTGCCCGGTTGTGACACTGGTACCGGTTATAACACTAGTGCCCGGTTGTAACACTAGTGCCCGGTTGTAACACTAGTGATCGGTCGTAACATTGGTACAGAATGTAATACTGGGACCCGGTTATAACACTAGTGCCCGGTACAGAATGTAATACTGGGACCCGGTTATAACACTAGTGCCCGGTTGTGACACTGGTACCGGTTATAACACTAGTGCCCGGTTGTAACACTAGTGATCGGTCGTAACATTGGTACAGAACGTAATACTGGGACCCGGTTATAACACTAGTGCCCGGTTGTGACACTAGTGCCTGGTTGTGACACTGGTACCGGTTATAACACTAGTGCCCGGTTGTAACACTAGTGATCGGTTGTGACACTGGTACCGGTTATAACACTAGTGCCCGGTTGTGACACTAGTGCCCGGTTGTGACACTGGTACCGGTTATAACACTAGTGCCCGGTTGTGACACTAGTGCCCGGTTGTGACACTGGGACCCGGTTATAACACTAGTGCCCGGTTGTGACACTAGTGCCCAGTTGTGACACTGGTACCGGTTATAACACTAGTGCCCGGTTGTGACACTAGTGATCGGTTGTAACACTAGTGATCGGTCGTAACATTGGTACAGAATGTAATACTAGGACCTGATTATAACACTAGTGCCCGGTTGTAACACTAGTGCCCGGTTGTAACACTAGTGATCGGTCGTAACATTGGTACAGAATGTAATACTAGGACCTGGTTATAACACTAGTGCCGGGTTGTGACACTGGTACCGGTTATAACACTAGTGCCTTGTCCTAAGATAAGGTTGAAATGGGGCGGTTCCTCAAGCCTTTCAACTAACGTTATAACAACTGGGCGTCGGACACGTGAGTTCCTCGTACCTCTCACGCTTTGTCTTCGTGGAGCCATATACAGTTCTGATGTTGTGGTTTGTCTACAATCGTTCAAATACACTGAGAGAATATACGGTTTCCGAAAGATATTGCAATTCAAATGCTGTTATAATTTTATCGATTTCAAACGTAAATTTGAAACCTGACATTTTCATGGACACCGTAACGTGTTTGAAAATGTCCGTACGTCGAATCATCTTCTTGTGTCACGACGATGGTCACGATGACATGTCGTGTAGCCTCTACTTATGTCGAATCATCTACTTGTGTCACGACGATGGTCACGATGACATGTTGTGTAGCTTCTTCTTATGTCGAATCATCTACTTGTGTCACGACGATGGTCACGATGACATGTTGTGTAGCATCTACTTATGTCGGTCGTGCGTGTTGAAATATAACAGTATCATCAGACATGCTAGACCTACATGTAATTATAGTATGACCAGAAATTATTGAGAATTTTAGGAATATGTTTAATTGGATTTCTAGTATAAACAACCTTGACCAGCTATCAAGTGCTTGGTTTCATTCAAGAGAGACAACTCCGTTAATCCTTTTTCATTAGTTTGTGAAGAGTTATCCCCCTTTGTTT